TGTGAGCTTCTTTCCTTCATGCATTGTCCATTTCCTCACCACTTTGATCTTTGCTTCTTCAAGCCTTGGGAGTGTGTTTCTCCCAGTTTCTCTCCGTGTTTTTCCATCTCTTCACTTGGTTGTAAATTGCTTCTTGATTTCTTGCTTCCACTACGGTTGTGAGGGTTCTTTCCTTCATGCATTGCCCATTTCCTCACTTCTTTGTGAATCGCCACTTTGATATTTTCTTCTTTAAGCCTTGGGAGTGTGTTTCTCTCACTTTCTCCCCATTTTGTCCATCTCTTCACTTGGTTGTAAATCGCTACTTGACTTAGTGCTTCCACTAGTGTTGTGAGCTCCTTTCCTTCAAGCATTGTCCATTTCCTCACTCCCTTGTGAATCGCCACTTTGATCTTTGCTTTTCCATGCCTTGGGAGCGCTTTCTCTCCCTCTCTCAACAGAAGGCGGGAATCTCAGCTAGTCACACATTCCAACGACAAAACTAAAAAATCGACAGTTTTCTCAGTCTGTGATTTTGTGGGTTACACAAATAATTTTCAAGTCTGGTCATATCATTTGAATCTCGCGTATTGGGTGCGACAAATTTTTGATGATGTATGCGAACAGAGTGTTATGAAGTGGCTATCAAATCTTGAATCGTTGCAATACGCCCTCAGTGGTGGTTGTGAGGTCACGAGCTCGAGTTGTGCTGGAACCAGAGAACACTACCGTTTTTTTTTGTTTTTTTTTTTTTCCCGCTGTTGTTGTGTCAAACCAGTCATGGCTTGCTAGAGGGGGTGATACGAGCAGCCCCATCTAGCAGGCCTCCCTGGCCGCTCCTCTCTATTGGTGTGGAGCCACACCTGCTGGAAACCGGGTCCAGCGTCCCTTAGATACAACAATGTTTTACTCCTTGGGCCATTATACCCGGTTTCGGCTCAGCCTTCGACATGTGCTGCTGCCATACTTTCCCTAAGGGCAACGCCCCTAATCTGCCCTCCGCAAAAAAACCCAGCTCTGCTGTCCCCTGCAGGCTAGCAACCGCCCATGTGTTTTTAGCAGCATTCTGAAGTGTGCTGATTGTTCAACGTGAAGAACTGCAGACTACTCCCCATGTGTCTGATCGATGAAGAAATTGAACCCAAAGGTTTCTGATGAGATCGGTGAAGTTCAAAGATTTTTGCAAAGCTCTTGAAATGAGCCTAGCAGATTGCTGGTAGCTTCCCATTCCTGCCTTTGCTATGGGCCGGTGATTACTCATTGGGGGCAAGGTCACATTGAGTGACTGGTTATGGCCATACGTGACTGATTATGGCCATAGGCAAGCTTGATGCTTGTCTTCATCTAAATCCGCTTTGTGTGTGAGACTCACTTCTGTTGTACCGATGCTGACCCATCACAACTCTGTGGGAATACTTGGGTTTTGGTCCTAAATGGCAATGACCCTTCCAGTTTATTGGTTGGATTGTCAGATGATGACTGGTGCCAACAGGCTGCTGGTCCAGTCTTTAGACTCTCACATCAGGTAGGCTGTAAATATGGGAGCCTGGTCTGCTGTCACATTCTTCAGTGTCTTCCCTGTGTAGGTAAGTGCACGTAGTTTAGTCTTCTGATATTCGCTGAGCTCCTGGTAATCATGGCCAGGGTTGCACAGTGGCACCTAGGCAGGCTTTGCTGGGAAAGGTCTGTGAAGCTGTAGGCAATCTCACAGACCAAAAGTAGAAAATGAAATAGCCCAGAAAACAATATGCTGTGAAAATTTGGTCTACCCAAAAAAAAAAAAAAAAAGAGGTAACTTTGGCTGAGCCTTACCTCACGTATTTCTTAAACCACTAGCACCTCCGAGCCTGTTTTTGCCGAGCCTGAATTTCACTGTGCTCCGAGTTTTGCCGAGCCTGGGTCCCTCTCCATTTTCTTTCTGGTACTCTCACGGAAAGAACCAAAAAAAAAAAAGAAAGAAGAAACGTTGCGGCCGTGAAACTCCCAAAGAAGACAAAAGAAGGCTGTGAATCTCACAAAGAAGGAGAATAAAGGAAACAAAGGTTTGGCCGTGAATTGCAGTTGTATACATTCTTGGAAGTGGTAGTGTGAGTGTGCCCTCAGTGAGGGCATCTCAACCCCGTGGCCAGGTTGTCAGATTCCAGGAAGACAAAAGACGGAAAAAAAAAAGGCAAACACGGATTCGGCCGTGAAAATAGCTGGATACATTCCTCTAAGTGCCAGTGTGATGGGCAGTACAATCCTTTCAGGAAACACAGCTTGAGCAGATCACGGATTCCGCCGTGCCTCGTTGGCCGGGGACTATAAGAAAGACAAGAGTGTTATGATCCTGGCCAATTTCGGAATACACATTCATCAGAAAGTACAATGCCGTCCAATTGCAAAAAGAAATGAATGAACTTGAGAGGAGAGAGAGGGTAAGAAGAAGAACAAGAAGAAAGAAAGAAGAAGAAGATGATGTACAACAGCGTAGACAAGTGATAATGCTCTTCTTCTTCGCCAACCACTGTCCTCCTTATCTCCCCCTCTCTTATTCACACAAGAAATAATAATAATTGTTGAATGGCGGAACCAGAATCAATGTCCGAATCCCTCTTCTACTGCAGGTATCACGTGAGGTCCACCATAGCCATGGCCACCTTTCCTCCTTCGTCCTAGGCCGAGGCTATGGCAGACTACTAGGGCCTTGCCCTGATGTCCAAAGGACAACACAAAGCAGCTATGGCTGCTCTAGCTCAGGCCGCCATGCCTGACTCTGCCTTGAAGCTTCTTGGTGTAGCTCTCCCCCAGCTGGGGTCTTCCTGCTGCAGCGCCCACCAAGGTGATGAAGATGTCATCCACCATAGCCAGGTAAGTACCTCTGGCGCTCCTCCCTCCTAGTCCTGGTCTTCTCCCTCCTCCTGTCCTTGCTCCTCCCCAACAGCGCTGCTCCAGCCAGCGCTCCAACCAGTGTGTCGCCAAACTTGCACACCGACAATGAGGCTGAGCTCTTGGCTCAGCCTGGAGATAGAGCGGCTTACTTGCCTCTTGGGCGGTGACTTCCAGGCTGCTCGGCCTTCCGAACAACCGGCACGTCCTCCCTTTCGGAGGGAAACATCATTGCGGACTCTGATATTGCCCGTACAGGCCCTAGCCTCCGACTGGTTGGACTGGTATCCGCCTAGACCTAGTCTACAACTACTGGGCCTCTAAAAATGTCAACTTTTGTCTTCTTCTGCTCGGTCTCGAGTACCCGGCACATCTACCTCTAAATGGTGTGGTACCGGCCTACCTGCTGTGTGTCTCAGTCTGTGTTTGGTCAGGTCTTGAGTGCTTTCCTGCCGCAATCCTCAATGTCACGGCCACAGGTAAGTACCGGCTCTTCGAGCCCAATGAACGAACAAGTGCCCTTGCGGGTCACACACACACTCAAGCGGACAAGCACTCAGACAGACATGCAGACCAGCAAGCGTGCACACACAGAGACTTAGAGAACTCAGTAGCAAGGGGGAAACTCAGCAAGGCATGCAGTCCATGCGCAAAACTCAGAAATCGGCTGTGTGTCTCAGTCCGTGTTTGGTAAGGTCATTACAAGAGAGTGAAAAACAACAACATTCAGAATGTGACCGTGTTAGCTATAAGATTCGTTCTGTGGAGGAAGACTGTGAGCACGGCCTCCTAGACTACCAGTAGAGAAAACATTTCCTTCTTTTTTCTTTTCCATTCACAGGAGCAGCGACGACACAGCGCAAGATGAGGACGACGAAGAGGCAGATGAAGACGGGAGGGGCGCGGAGGAGAGAGAGATTTCACCATCTCTGGAAAGAACGCGATGCACAAGCGAACGATTGCAGAAGAAGGAGAGAGACGCATGCGACACGCCCCCTTCCTTTTTCTTTTCCATTCACGCGCGGGTAAAAAAAAAGGAAAAAAGATTAGATACCTAGGCTACCAGAGTGGCCCGGGGCAACTTGCCATTCCGGGCCAAAAATAATTAAAAATAATAATAATAAAAGTAAGAATATTATTTTTAATTCTTAATTTTAGATGTGACTCTGAGGCAGAAGTTGTTCAGTTTATTTTTCTGCATCACATAGTTTTTTTTTTTCAGTTTTTTTTCTTTGTTTTTTTTTTAGCTGGGCCCTTCTGTGGTCCTTGCACGGCGGGCTGCCTGGTCAAACAAGGAGACCCGGGCGGCCCGGCTGGTAGCCCAGTTAGATAGACACCTCTGAAGCCGTCAAAATAATACTTATGATCCCTGACACGGATTGGGTGACCCAAGAACAAATTGGAAGATAAGGTGGGATGCTGACTGCTCATGTGAAGCATAGAGCTGCTGAGCAATAAATCTTTTCAGACTGCTCATGTCAAGCATAGAGCTGCTGAGCAGTAAGCTTTTTCCGGCCGCTCATGTCAAGCATAGAGCTGCTGAGCAATAAACTTTCTTCTCCCCAAATTCCTGCCGGAATCTGCACCTGCCCAGTTTACCCAGGTGGATGTATGCCGGCCCGCCCGGCTCGACAACCAAGTAGCATTCTGATGCATTATGGATTGAATTTTGGGTGGGCCCGATATTTGGTACCTTGGTATGCAGGGCACAGCTGCATATTCTTTGAGGAGATGGATGGGTTTTTGCACTTTAAGAAGCAAGGGAATGCTGAGGGAGAGGAACCAAGGGGGGCAAACGATCAGATAGACCATGATGGCTTGACAGAATGGACACTTTGGCAGCTTCTTGACTCTCTTCTTCCTGTTGGAGGTTTTACAAACTCCTATGGACTTGAGGCTTCGTCTCAAGCTGGACTGATCCAAACAACTGCAAATCTCGAGGAGTTTTGATTAGACAATCTTGAGTGTGCTGGAGCAATGTTTCTTCCTTTCCTGGTCGCTGCAGGCCGAGGGTGGTGGGAATCACCTGGAGGACATCTCCAAGGTCTTGGACAAAGTAAGGGGGAAGAACCAGGGACACACTTTTCAGATGCGGCGAAAACCTGGGCAGAGGTGGACCAGCTGATGGATGCATATCTCACAAATCATGTGGGGAGGCGTGCATCTTGCTCGCAAGGCTGTGCACTGTTGCGATTGGTGTCATCAACTTTCCCAGGACTAGTGGAGTTGAAGGAGATGAGATGGATGTGCAGGGGAGGTGTTGGAAGAATGGAAGCCAATCATGACCAATCGGTGGGCGCCAATCAGGCTGCTTCTGGGCACCATGCAGCAGCATTTGGTGCGCTGTGTGCTGCTCTTGGAGTGAAAAGAACGGTAGCCCAGAGAGCCTTTTTGTTTATGACACTGCGAGATATCTTGTCAGCTGCAACGAGACTGAACCTCGTTGGTCCTTTGGAGGCTGCAGGACTTCAGCACAAGCTGTCAAAGTCAGCAGAGAAGGTGTTAGCATGGGCCGCGGACAGACCAATATCGGATGTCCACCAGACTGCACCGCTCTGGGATCTTATGCAGGGAGCTCATGATGAGCTGTTTGCCCACCTTTTCCGGAGTTGAGAGATGTCTGGCTCACTGGGCTGTTTGAGCTGTCTCTGCACTACTGTTGTTATGGCAAGGTGGGCGCTAGGTTAGGCCGTGAGGGAAGGGGGTTCTACTGAACTGATGGTGGTTCTCAGAGTTGGCTTGACTTTATCACCGATTGATTGACTCTGATGGTTAGTGGTGGTGCACATGTCTCTCTGATGATGATTCTGGTCTGTGAACAAGAGCGTGTTAATGGTTTCGAGCCAGTCCGCAGTCAGTTATGAGTCAGTATTTCTAACTGAAATAAAGCAAGGATTGGTGGAGACCATAATGTGCTTGGTAGATGAGCTTGCGCTGTCAGTCCTCTCCTCAGGCTCTGACATCATTGGCATTGTTGTCGCTGCTTCTCTTGTGCCAGTTGGGCATTTTCGCTTGATGTCAGGTGGAGGGTTGCATGGTATTTTGTCCCCAGGGCAGAATGCAGGTTCTACTGCAGAAGTCATGGTAACATTTGACAGGACTCTGTTTCATGCACAGCCTGAGTTGCAGCTGACAGTACAAGAAGTATCGTCTGCGCCATAAGCTCCATAATGCTCCAAGAATTACTGCGGATCCAGAGTACTTGCTGAAAGTGTATGCTCTTCTTATTCTTCTTCTCCGGCAGTCATGGAGGGTTGTTGGCACGTCATTCCTTTGAAAACAATGACCAGCTAATACCTACAAGAAGAATGATGATATCTCCAGGCATGTCTTCAGCGGCAGCAACAGAAGTTGCATTTCAGTTATGGTACATATTTAGAGCCACTATCCGGTTGCACTTAGCGGAGCTCATGCTCGTTGTCCGCATCATTGGGTTTATTGTTTTGCTTGCACTTCAGGTTACCAAAATTCTCAGCATTTTCTTTTCAGAAGCTGTTCGCATTATCTACTACATCTACAGTACACTGCTTGTGTTACATCTACGACTGTTCTCGGTGCTGATGCACGTGCATGTTCTGTGGCTGATTTTTCTCCATCCCCAGTTCTTGAAGCTTTTCCTCTACCCGTTGGTGATGTCATGGACAGAATCTCTCTGCAATCGCCGGTGGGCACGGACGCTGTCATAAACCTGGAATTTCCACAGAGTAAAAGCAAAGAGGACTTCACTGAGGGAATCTGTGATGTGCCTGCATTGGCTTGTGGATGAGCTCACTACACTGATTTGCAAATAGGAGTCTGTCTATCCAGCTTGAAGTGGATGAAGAATGTAGTTTAAGTGTAAGGGATCGATCATGTGTAGCTGAGGGATGGGGGTGTTGCAAGATGTGTTTTGAATTACTGGGTAGAGAAAGGAGTCAATATGTAGGGAGTCCTGCTATGGAAGGACATTGACACAACTCCTTGATGAGCGGTGGCATCCAGCATTGGTGTTGCTGTGACATTTTTACCCTGGCACACCTGAAATGTCTTGTGCAAGTTGCAGCATGGGCGTGTGCATAATTGGTTTGCTGGCATGCCTTGCTTTCTTTTGTGCCACTAATCCGACTTAGCTTTTGTTCAAAAGAACCCTGTTTCTGGCTTGTTGGTGGAATGCTGCCAAAGTTGCCACTTTGCCTTCTCAGAAGTCGCTCATAGCAGAGTACTTTCTTGTGTTCTCAGCGCCCTAGCTTGTTGATGGACATACTGCGACCCGGGCTTACCACTGTGTCACCAGAATTCACTTGATAGCCGACGATCGATGCGTTCCCTTTCTAACAATTCAGGGTCTGGTAGATGTGCCTCTGGCTTCCCTTGAGATTTATTGAACGATGGTGAGTATGAGATTGCTCTTGTGGTGATGGCATCATCGTAACCTTTTCCGCAAATCGAGCACATGTCAACAGAGTATATCCACAGAGGAGGTTCCCATCTCAATGATCATTGGGGGGACAGCTCATCAAAGTCGTGTCACATTGGTCTGCAACAAAGCAGATGGCTGAGGAGTTGGCAGACCCTCGTCAAAGTCATGTCACATTGGTCTGCAACAAAGCAGATGGCAGGGGAGTCGGCAGACCCTTGTGAAGAAGTTGGCAAACAGTAGAAGTTGAGGAGTGTGAGATCGTATGAAAACCACGTTTGTATTGTGCCTCTAACATAGCAGATGGCGGAGGAGCCAGGAGACCCTGATAGTGAAGTTGGCAAAAATTGGACCGTGAGGAATGAGAGATAGAGAAACCATCTTTGCATCAGCAGGATGGAAAAGTTTCTGCATCTGCGATAAGAATGGTGGATCTAGGACTTGAGTAAACTTGAGCAGATTCTGGTGTATGCCGAGTTTCGCCATGGCGGTGCCCGTTCATATGGTGTTTCGTTAGTGAACGCAGGAAGTGGCTCCACAATACCTGTGACGTCTGGGTTGGGTGAATTCTACTGCTCTTGCTTCAAGATGCACCAGTGGGATGTGGTTTGCAGAGTTCAAGCCTTTGCTGGCCTACAATGTGGGTTTGCAGAATTCAAGCCCTCGTTGGCCTATAATATGGGTTTTGAGCGGATTATGCGAAGCATGTCAACAGCCTGTGAGCACAGTGACAGTGGTCTTTACGTGATGCAGATCATGTCGATAATGTGTGAATGGCCTGTATTTGCCATGCTTATAGTGTCTCTTATCAGAATCTGTGAACGTGTTACTCCTGGCCACTAGCCCTGCAGTGCCACCACTTCCTTTCATCAAGTATTTTGTCATGACATCGGCGTGTTTTGAAGTGCATACTGGTGTTGACTTCTGTGCTGTGCATGCTCTCAGATCACTCAGCTCAATGAGGCTTGCATGCTGCTTTCTGTGCGCCTTGTTCACTTTTGTCTTTCACCGAGCTTCTCACATATAGCACTTGATTCCCAGATTCCATAGTTTCCGATCTTATTGGAGGTCAGACATATGTTATTTATCCAGGCGTAAGTGCTATGATTGCCACCTCGTCGTATCTTTGGGCTCAGCTTTATGTGAGTTATGCAGGTGTAAGTGCTAAGGTTGCAACCGCACTGTGTGTTTGAGCTATACATACATTTGTATACCTATTCCCCCTCGCCACCCTGGAATAAGTTTGGGCTCAGATATATGTCAGTTATTGATGTGCAAGTGCGAAGATTGCAACGTCATTGCATCTTTGGGTTCTATATTCATGTACATACACCACACCACCACACCACCAGCCTGGAATAAAACTTCAAGGAGTGTGATGCCCAAATTAAGTCATGTTCTTTTATCCATGTATTTGCTCTGTTGGGCTGCAGGGCTGCTGCTATGCACGAGTGCAAAGATACCTCGAACAAGCACAAGCACATCATGCTTTCATGAACTGACATAGACTCAGTGGCGAAGCAATGAGCAGAATTAACAGCAATATGAAGTCTTGCGATGAAGAAACGGCCGACACCCATCAACAAAAATAACAAAGCTCACAAACAATGTCGTCCTCTTCCTCTCCGGTCAGCCAACTGGGTAAGCCTGTCTATCTTTTACAACTCTCCCGGTCTCCCCAAGGACCTACTTCCCCTTCTGGTGCTAATCTATCTCTCACTCACTCAGTGTTAAGCTGTGCCTCACTGCTGCCACTTCTCTTGGCGTTACTTAAGCCGCCAGTACACAGCCCCAGCCTTGCTAAAAGAAACTCGTCACCTGGTCCGAAAAGTTCAGGGCCGGCGCGCCGTTGATAGAAAAACATCAGCGGCCGGCGTCGCGATTCAGCCTCCGAAAGGGGCCCGCGGCCGATGTATGGCTTGTACTGGTGGTTAAGCGCTCTCACAACTGGCAGCCAGCCAGACTGAATGCCGCTGGCAGCCCTGGCCTAGTACCTGAAGCCAGAGTTTTGACAAATGTCAACTGGCCTGCAGATGCCTACCAGCTAGTTGGGAGGGCCCAGGCCTTTCCATTCAGCCAGGTCTAGCTTGACCTTTTCTGTGTCACCTTGGCTTAGGCCTTTCCATGCCGAGTGATTCTAGAACCTACGGGAGTTCTGTCCATAAGTGGGCCTTGCGGCCTCACGTTCGCACCCCCACCAAGGTTTGAAATCCGCTGAGAACCCACTTCACCATTTGCTTGCATCCTTTCACATTTTTAGCTTCTTTTTTTTTTTCTAGATCCGATACGAAATTTGGCGCAGTCCTCATCAAATCTTCCCTTGTGAAACACCATTCCTCCGTAGTAGTTCCACTATCTTATTAGTATTGGTGGATGCATCCACCGAAGGAGGAATCATCGATATGGAAGATGGGAATCATTGTTAGTGACATAGGGAACGAGTTTGGAAACATCGAGAACAGGATTGGGGGTACCCTTATGGCAATGGCTGGACCATCAGGACTGTCACCTACAACATCGAGAATACCCCAAGTGCAAACATCCATGGTCGAATAGGCAACGGATTTTCAGAGGGATTCCCTTTTACATTGAACTTCGCAGTGTCTATCCAAGCAAGACCCGCCTACCTTCCCAGGCAAGACCTGCCTACCTGAAATGGAGGTACATTTATGTCTTCTATCTATACCTTGATAGAAGTTAAACCACCAGTAAAGTCGTGCCCGTTAACAAGCCATGATTTTAGGAAACGTACGGGCCACTACAGGAGCACCCAAATTCATCCGACTAGAAATGTTTCTACTCTATTTTTTTCCGCGGCCAATAGCTGGGCCGAGTACTGGTGGTTTAAGCCAGGTCTCGCGTAACGGTTCCACGATGCCTGGGTACCAGTGTTGGGAAAAATGTAGCGCAGGAGCGCCAGGGCCTCAGGAAATCTTCCTTCGTTAGTTTATATTTTTTTCATCTCAGGGGCGGCCATTCGAACTGCACGGGGCGCTGTTTGGACCGTGTGTGTTGCGGCCCCCGCACGTTCACACAACTTCATAGGCGGCCTGTGTGGAAGGGCTGCACAAAATCATCCGCTTGTTGCTTTATTGTTTGCTTTGGTCATAGGGGTGGCCGTTCGAACCGCGCGGGGCCCTGTTTGGACGATGTGTGTAGCGGCCCCCGCATGTTCGAATCCAAGTCCATAGGTGGCTGATGAGGAAGTGCATCTTCTCTCTCTCTCTCTCTCTCTCTCTCTCTCTCTCTCTCTCTCTCTCTCTCTCTCTCTCTCTCTCTCT